TGACTGACACATCCACACACCACACAGCGCAAGCCTAAAAGAGCGAGGGTAATAGGTGTAGACTATATAAGAATGCTACGTACAGTAAGATCAATGTCACGACTACGGATTTCTTCGCTATGTATCCTGCATGTCTAATCTGTCAATCCCGTCCTATATGAATAGCAAGAATTTGTCGCATAACATTATCCGTTCTGCCTCTCTTGTTTATTCATTCATCCTATAAAGCTGTTTGAACATGGATGTGGGTACAGCTCGTGTTTGATACATCTGACACCACAGGCCGCACTATTTATGAACATACACTGTTAAGATATTAATGTGGATGTGGCTCTTGGTCTCAACACCTAATAACGCAAGCCATCGTATTCTCCGTGATCACACACTGTTGGAAGCCTGATGTGAGTGCGGGTCGTTCGCGTAAACCACTCGCCTGTAGCCTTCGGACCAGTGACTGTTTTTCCCATTAAAACGCCGCGCATTAAGTTGTCGTTAGTTTGTACATACGTCGTTTTGAAGCCACATTTGTTGGCTATTCGGAATGAATTGTCGTTACTGAGGGATTGTGCTGCAAGCGCACAATGCTTAGGTGCGTACCGAGGTATTTGGTAACACTGTTTCCTGATTCCGGGCTCGTTTTTGAATTGATACTGGAGGAGACGCGTTGCTCAGCACCATACAAACGGTTCTGTAGCCTACAGTGTTCAGTTGGTCTCTGGATGGTAAACGCCACACACCCACCGTAGACGTAGCAGGCTCCATCGCGTACGAGAAACAGCTGGCATCGCTGAAGCGGAACAATGTACTCGGCTCAGAGGACTTTCCACCACCGCTGCTGAAGGACTATGGTGGTGCACCAGTGATTGCCGTAAGGAGATGCAAGGAGGAAGTGCTCTCCAAGTGACGATTGTCAAGAGCCATTCCAAAAGAGCCGGTTGAGTTCCTGTGAAAAGTAATCGCCAAACTACCGACATATATAATGCTGTGGTTACTAGCTGAATCTGATTAGGAGCGAATCAGTAAAGGTCACACCGACTTCAACAGTTGCTTAAATGTTGTGTCATACAGAAAACAGTCTATTTAGATAATCTTGAAGGCTGCCTTCGATTCTGATGTCCGCATCTTTTGTGCCGGTATCTATTCGTGATGATAAATATGTCGGAGATATGCCTCCTTGCTCTAAAAGTTCTATAGTATGATTCCGGTGGTTAGGTGAGGTTTTAAGAGAAGCTCCACTCCTCGCCACAAAAAGAATATGTCACGGATGTCTTGTTCCGCCTTCCAGAACAATGATCGTGGGTGACTCGCGTCCGTCTTCCGTCACTTCACCTTGGATGGAGTTTCTGTCGGAGCGCCGAATGTCTCAGGAAGGATAAATAGATGACATAGTTCTCCTTCGGGCTAGACGCAGTTGCTACGCAAGTGCTACCGAATAGGATGAAGCGTGACACTGAGCATAGTTGATACGCTTAAGTGAACTGTAATGACTTTGTCTGCCGAATTCAGTGAAAAGTACTGTTGAAACACAATATGAACCGTGGTTACGGTTGCAACTTGTGAGATTTCGATCCATGCTGGATATCTTTTGGTGAAGGAGAACGGATGAAGAAATATAAGGTTTATTTGACTGGGGTTTTAAATCGGCCGTTTCCTCTTCATTTTCACTTTATCTACTGCGAATATATAAGTTTTGAAGGAAAATTTTGGCATCATTTTTCGCCGGAATGCTTCCAGTCACTAAGACCGTCTTACTCTTCACATTTTGAATACTAAGTTGAGATATCATGCACTATTCGAGATTTGTTGCTTTTGGCCACGAACCGGCTGAAACCCGAGGATTCTGTTTATCAATATACACTCAGTGCCCAAGAATGCGGATCATTCTACTCGAGTGACTTGCAATGCATTCTTCCCTTTTGTTTATTCATTTATAAAATTTTGCAAGTTTGATGATGTTATTTTGCCTGATCCGCAGTCGATACTGTAAAATTCAGTAAATGCACCCATCTGAGTACATGAAGCTTGACTTGACGTTTACCATATATTGCCGAATATAATACAGTAATTTTTGGACAATTTCTCATTTCTGTGGAGGGAGCAGGCTAATACAAAGGTTATAAACAATTTAAAAATGTTATGCGAAGTGCACCAAGGAACTAACTGCACACCTCTGCCCATATCTCTCATTAGCACCACGTGCTACTGACCGACGGTAATCCAGCCGGGGATTTGAAATGCCTCACTTTTTCACACAGTGTCTACGCAGCACTGCAAGCAGCGTGCCTTATAAATAGATGTTATTTTTGTGGCGAAAATTCTCGGTATAATGCATAGATGACGTTCTTCACGGATGGCAATAACAGAAACCTACGAGAATACACATAAATGGCGTGCAGCTATACAATTAACGTTAAATGCGATCAAGTTCAATTTAAAGCTAGCGGCATATGCGTATGGTTTCTGTTGATACATTTTTTCACGTTTCCACGACTTTGGAAGATCGCAAGAAAAGAAAGCCCATTCCGTCCCCACTGGATCATGTGACGTCGCGTTAGCGTTATTTTCGGTAGCGAATCGAAAGCGCTTATACATTACGGTCACTACAACCGACCAATAGTAGAGCAGATCATCGTGTTATTCCGTCTTATAGGGGAAACAGGCAGCAGGAGATCTGGTGTTAGCGGGACAATACGCGACGAGAGTGTACAGCCGATCCACAGCATCCAAAACGCTCAGAGCGTTGGGCCGAACGCTTTGCAAGGCAGCTTAACCAATCTGGGTTATCGTTTTCGTTTTCGGACATTGAGTGACCTCCATAGGCCGTCTCCTTGGATCCGTCCTCACGCGCAGAAGTCGAACGTGAGATCAGACTGTTGAAATTGCATAAAGACTTCAGGTGCAGACAGAATTCCCACATTCCTCTACCAAATCAGGGGATCTGATCATGTAGATGATTTACACGAGTTGCTAATGGAACTTTAGGAGCAGGGAAGTGTCCCGACAGACTAGAGCCGTTCCTTTAAAGTTACAATTTTCAAAGGAGGCTCCCGTTCGGAATGCGGCAATCATAAAGGGACCAGCTTGATCTCAGTTACCTCTAAATTGCTTGCGTCTGTCGTTCTCCATAGACCGAGTGGCGCTTGTGAAGCCAGATCCGCGAAGAGCAAGCCTGGTTTCGTCGAGGTCGGGGTTGCGTCGACCAAATCAATTAATGGAGTATCATCATGTCTATTGGCGACCCACCGTAATCGTGTTTCTCGACATCAAAGGTGCCTTCGATTCGGTTGATCAGTGTGAACTTTGAGAGTGGCGGCTAAGAAAAGGTGTGCTCGATAAGCACGTAAACATTATCAAAGCGCTGTAAGCGCATAGTTCGGGGTTAAGGCAAAATGTTGCCGTCCCTCAGCATCTCCAGCGATGTGAGACAAGGTTGCCTGCTGTCACCTTTCCTCTTTAACTCCGCAATTGACGAAGTCATGGAAACAGCGTTCGTTTGACACAATCTAGAAGATGCGGAGCTGCTTACTGGTGAGCGAGTTCTTGACTCGAAGTAGGCGGGTGATATTTCCCTAGTCTGTGAAGGCTCCCAAACGCGCCAATCAACACTGGACCGATTAGCACTGGCTGTCAATCGTTTTGGACTACGATTTGTTCCCTGGAAATGCAAATTCCTCCAAGATTGGCAGGGAACTACTCTTGCGCTGACGCTTGGTGGTGATCAGCTGGTGGTTCTCCATCATTTCAAGTACCTAGGCAGCTATATTAGCGCCACTGCGATTGAAGATGGGATTGCGAACCGTATAGCAAGAGCTCGAGGTGCTTTTGTCAATCTCCGCCACCTGTGGCGAAGACGCGACATGATTCTCATCCTGAAGAGCAGAGTTTATAGTGAAGCCGTCCGTTCAACCCTCCTATATGGTTGTGAAACCTAGCCCGTCAGGTCGATAAAGAGATTAGTCAGGTTTGACCACCGATGTCTTCGCAGCTTAGCTCATGTCTCATAGGAGCATCTCGTGAGCAATGAATGTGTTCGGCGTTGCGTATTTGGTGCAGGAAGAGCTAGTGAACCTCTCAGCAGCATTATTTCACGCACCAGGCTCCGATGGCTGGGCTATGTGTTGCGCATGCAGGACACCGGCTCCCGCGACGTGCATTGTTTGCGTGCCCGGGGTGTGGATGGAAGAGGAGGAGGTGAGGTGGTCAAGAGGAGTGAAAACCCTCACTTCGAAGTCGGCGTCGGTTGGTGCATTGCGACTGCTAGCGGGGTTCCGAATAATGATGCACACCTTTGGTTGTACACACTTGCTGATATGGTGAGGAGCCGGCCCCAGTGGCATTTGTGCTGTGATTCTTTGTACATCTCCCTCTTTTTTAGATTCCAACTACAATTACGTTCTCATAGGAATTACCTAATATATGTAACGCTACCCGCTTTTGAATTTTTTAGTCTGTGCCTTACCTGTTTGTATTGCGGCAAATTAGCTGAGGTGTGTTTCTCACCCTCAACTAACGTGTATTGATGATGATGATGATGATGATTAGAGCAACTTTCCTTTGTACACACCCAAGTGAGAGCAAGTACTAACGACGTCACAGTTGTGAAAAAGCAATTTCGTTTTTCTTTATGCTGATTTTTGTCGGGGTCGGTTAATACAGGGACTTACGATTTTGGACAAATTTGACACTGCAGTTATACTGTCGGCCTATCCATGGACGGGCTTATATTCGGTAATATACGGTACTACATGCATAAAAAGTAGTGTCCGTACAGAAGACTTACGTAAAACCGCATCCAAAGTAAGCGTAGCAGCGTTATGAAAATAGTACCAGTACCAGTAAAGAGCAACTTTTTTTATAAAAACGAATACTTTCGAAGTAAACGCTAAAACAAGTTGGTACAGAAAGGTGGGCGGTTGATACGGAGCGGCGCAATTCACGAACTTTCCAGAGACGACCAGTAAATAGTACAGTAAAGTTGGAAAAAAGTAGGACAGCCTTACCTGTGGCAAGGTAATCCACGATTGCGGTTTCCGAATGTTTGACAAAAATGTGGAATCCTGAAACGCATTTGCGTAAAATGAATGAGAGATACATGGAAACAAATGTCGGAAGATGGAGGTGCGTAAAGCGGGTTAAGGATAGTATGGTTAACAGAAGATCAACACACGCGCGCTACAAACTGCCGTGTGTGTATCTCATGAAGGAGATAAACACCGTGAAAAAAACGCCTACCAGCAGGTTGCACACCAGGTTCGGTTAATTGTTCTAACCAGAAAACAGCTCGGGTCAAGGATGAACCGAAAAAAGCCACAAGAGGTCGCGGTTGAGAGGAAGTGAGGTAAAAAAAAGTTAGGATTGCCACTTAGTGTAAAAAAATACGAGGGGGATAAAAAGCGAACAAACATCTTGATCCGTTGACTTATTCTGTTAAGTGTCCGCCAATATCGTAGACAGTCAGACGAGCATTCAGACAAGCAGAGATTCGGGGTGAGCACGTCCTTGATGTGATGGGGTAGAGAAGCAACGCAGCAGCTACAGGGAATAAGTACACAAGGACATAAAGTGCCCTCGCGCATGTCACTTAATACAGTCTACAATGAAACTCAGATCGATGGCATTCTGCATTGAATGGAAAAACAGCCTACAGTAAGTCGGGCGAATTTTCGCATGAGGCATGGCAAGTCTGCTGGTAGCGTTTAGCCTAGAGGATGAAGCTGGACAGGGTAAAGGGGGTCTACAAGATGAATGCACCAGACTAGTAAGCAGTAAGACGTAGATTGGGCTGCCGATCTGCTGTTTGGAGCGTGACAGGGTAGGTTGGCTGAATGATGGATTTCAGTGCGATCATCTCGATCATTAGGACTGCGCAGCAGAAGTAATGATATTTCAATCTGACTAGTCTAAACCAGGAAGGCACAAATTTGGAAATCGACAAGGTAGCCAAGTTGGATACGGTTGCTGGAATCTAACAGGGGCTTGGGTCAAGATGGGTAACAGTGTCAACTGGGACTACGAAACGAAACCTGAACACAGTGCACACACCAAATCCGAAAATGAGGCCTTAACCGCTGCGATAAGCACTAGAAAGTGCAGCCTGAGCACGAAACGATTAAAACGCTCAGCTCGTAAGAATGAGGCGAATAATTTAAACTCCGGCCAAATTACCTCTATCTGAAACGGTACAAACGGGTGAAATCTATCACGGAGCACACAGATGAAACCGAACAACATTGGTGGTGTAACGCGATAACTTTATCACGAACCTAGGCGCATCACATGCCTTAATGTGATTTCGTTTGTGCATCATTAGAATCGTTTGTGAATTCCTAGTGATCCGAGCACCACCAAAATACGATCTAGTTGGAAATTTATGCAAGTCCTCGCTCTTGACGAACTGCAGTGATTCTCCACCCCGAAATGTAGTTAAGCTACGTGCCTTTTAACTGAGAAGTTCAATAAAGCAATGAAAAACAACATTTTAACACAATTTACTGAATTCAGCAATTTCGTGTATTCTCATCAGCTGTTTACATACAGTTAGTGGAAAACACAATGCGATGTTCACAGCAAAAGTTCAAAGCGTTCGAAGGTCCTTAGGCTCACGTGACCCGTTCCGAGGAAAACGCAATCAGTAGCCTCACCAGGGAAGGGCTAGCGTGGTCACAAAATCCGTTTGCTTGCATAGATTTGGTTTCAGCCGCCGAATTGCTGCCGCCTCCGGAAACTGTAGTAAGCGGGAAGTAGGTTGTTTGCTAACTACCCTAAAATTGCCACGTGGGTTTTGGCATTCAGGGTAGTCAAGCGTGTGACCGGCAATAGAGCTAGTCGGTAGCTTCGGGCTCTTAGCGATCATGTTTCGCAGAACTGAGAAGTCGTGGTTGAGTTTAGGGTGTCTTGTGTTGTGACCCTCAGCAGTTAACTTCCGGAGTTTCGGTCGAAAAACATAAAAGGAAGCAAGCATTATGTGATAGGAGTGCCTAATCAGAGTGATCCGATGGACCCAAAAAACGAACTAGATAGCCGATGAAAGGCGAATCTGACAGACTCAGTCACGGCACATGATAAGCGGTTCTGCTGATTGGCCGATGATTCTCGCCGTGTTTGAGTCAAAAGGAAGAACGAAAACACCGTCGTTTGTGAAAGTGGACGAACAATGTGCACTGTGCGGTTCTGTGGGTCGAAAGTATCTGCAGTGTTGCCTATTTATCTTCGATGAATAGGTCATTTCTCGTTTCCAAGAAAGGAGTCCGGATTGAGCAATCATATTCGTCACATTTCGCGGCGGATTATAAGAGCATCACAAAGCATTCCATCAAATGTTAGGTCCATCAAGTACAAAATGTTCAGGGTAAGGCCTGACAATAATTGTTCAAAGCGGGTAACGCGAGTCGGGCGAGCACAAGTGCATTTTGTACACCGTAGAACTAAAGAAACCGCAACTACCAGAAAGCACTGTTTATCCTGCGAAGGACCAAAACAAGTGGTCAATTTAAGTCAGAAAGTGCTAGGATGCGGAAAAAAGCTGAGGACCAAAAACGAAGCCGCTCAAGATGGTTAGATCCAAAGGTTGCAACTTCACCAAATGCGAGTTACGAGCAACAGAGGGATCGCGTGCTCTTTGTGCGGTTGGTAATCACTTACACCGTTTGAACCGGATGAGGGAGAGTCTAAGGATATCTCGCGCATCAGCTGAAGCTCCATATTCAACAAGCTACAACAGATAAAGCTTTTGTATCAGATGGGACTGTAAGCACATTGAGTGTCTCAGTAAGCATGTAAACCTTCGTGTCACGTATCCCGATGAAGAAGCTGCCAATGGCGAAAAGCAATACATCAAATTGGGCACAATATAACGTGGCACGAAGAGAAAGGCTTTATCTGAAGTGAGATGATGGTAAGATAAAGCTGTTCGATAGAAGGTAATGGAGATAAACGGTGCCCAAATAGAACAGTGATGATTCGGGCAGCATAAACGGAAAAAGCAACAGGATGGTTTGCATCTGGACACCGGAAAGTGTGCCATGTGACCCAGTCCAATCAACGTGATGTGTGGCCTCAGTGCCGAAGACATCGTTGTCAGGACAAGTCACCACAGGAACAATTACGGAGGGATGACGGATAAAAACCAACAAAATAAGAATCAAAAAGAATTGAAAAACAGCGATGAGAAGTGAGAGGGATGGTCATATAGCTATGCTACAAACAAGAACCAAGGTTTTTGAAGCATGACAAGTTAGAAAGGTCCGCGGAACTTTCGCGCCTCATTGTGCTGGGTTTGTTGGTGATAGTTGTGGACATTGCAAAGCGCAAATAGTGGCTTTCACAAGTAGTAGTGGCCTGTGTTAAAGCACATATGGTTCTACGCAGATGGATGAGTTCAATACAGTTGATCAAGCGTGAATCTGGCACCAAAGTAGCATAGATCCAGCAGCGCAGACGTCACCACAATATTACTTATTAAAAACGACGAGCATAGCAAGAAAAATGACGAAAGGAATTTAATCCAAAGTCCCACTTTTGCTACTTTCTAAAAAAGAGATGGCGTAACGTAAAGGGTGAACGTATAGAGCGCCATTGGCCTCGTAATTGTAACATGGTTCTAACTACCGAGGTAATTGATTCCCAGTCCCCGTTCATGAAAACGACAGGTACTAATTCAATCAAACCCAGACGTCAGTTGTTCCAAGAATTTTCGCAGTGTCATCCATTGGTCTCCTCAGGAATCGCTCAGAATTGTCTGTGAGTTTGGAACCGCTGGCTTGGCAGTACAACCTAAACTAGCTCACTCACCCTAACGGTACATTTGTTAAATACAATAGCCCCATGTGGTGGTGCCCACGTTACGAGGTTGTAACGGAAAACGCCGAAGGCCGTAAGCTTGAAAAACAGTTGGGAAATGCAAAAAGTATTACTTAAAAATGAAGAACGTAAAAAAGCTAGTGTGAAGGAGAACGAAACGGGCGGAGCAAAAGATAAAAAACATTGACAGTAATGTGAGCCATCGAAACCAACTCAAATCAGTGGGCAAAAAAATTCGCAACCGCGAAAGCAAGCTATTAGTCTAGAAAACCAAACGGACTTAACAGCTAAAGCCATATAATTAAGGCTCTCATTGTTCACGACTAAGTCTCAGTTTGAAAATAAAAGTGGGTACCCTACCAAGTGACAGGCGGCCCGAATAGCACATGATGCTTCAGCTTTAAGCTTTATTGAGGCTATAGAAAATTTCCACTACCTGCAGACCTGATGTCCTATACGCCTGTGTGCAAGCTCCTCGGTTGATGAGCGAGTTCAACTTACTGGTTTTATGTGGGCAGGAACAGCAGGAAACATAAGCAGCATTCGTCACTAGGCCCGAATTAAGGCTACCGTGCAAAGTGTCGAAAAAGGAGTCCAAAGGGATCCACAAAGAAGGAAATGTATGAGATGGTAGCTCTGAAACTCGAGCGAAATCTTCGACGAAAGCCGGTATACACGTTGATCCGCTAAGTAGTAACGCATTAGAGGAAGCCAAGGAGGTGATGTAGTGTAAGTGTTGGAGAAAGCAAGAGCGCGGTAGTACGATTTCACGCGGAACAGTGGACGATAGCGCATCACAGATAAGATTTGAGTTAAACAAAGCTCGAAAATTAGCTTCATGATATTAGACACACACACACACAGCCACATAGAAGTTACAAAGACTTACTCAAAACGAGCCTTCTCAATGTTTTGGGCTATAGCTGATACATGTGACGCTGTTGCATCCTCCTCTGACTGCAAAGGAGAAGAGGATAAAGTGAAACGGATTAGAAAACGAAATAATTTCATTGACGAGAGACCACGCAGGAGTGCATCAAGCCCTTGCAAATTTGGCTTATGCGAATGGATACAGGCGGACATTTGCTAATCAATAATAAAAGAAACTTTCAAATTTCCGGCTGTCCAACAGTTTAGATGTGTTAAAGTTCTACTTATACGGTTCAACTTGCCGTACTGCTTCCCTGCAAAAACAAATCTATTGAACGCCGACTATTCCAGGAAGCTCTTATCACTCAAAGTAGTCTTGCACGGGATTCAGGATGACTGCATGGTGTTCGCCAAAGCATGTCACTCAAAAGGCGGGTAACAGTGCTGCAGGGTGAGGGAATTATAACAAGAAAGATACGTTCATCGATCTACTTGATCGATTGGCTAGTGATCAGCTATATAGTGGTCCGTATGATATGTAACGTTGGAAGCTCACACAGGATGTTAGAATGTCCCCTAGAATATAATCACCAAATAAAGCGGTGGCGATTCCGTATCATGGTAAAACTTCAAACCGATCAGGGTGGCAGAAGTCTCAAAAATTGAAGTAAAACTTCTCCAAGAAAAATGAGCAGTTGACAAGAAAGGCACACGTTTTATGAACAGTGGGGAAAACCATTCAGGAAATTAGAAAGAAAAGGTTCGGTGAATGGAGCGTTGATAGCAGTAACTGTCAATGTATGTGACGCACCAGTGACTAATGAGGAGGCAGGTTATTCATGGCACGAAACACTGGACGATCGTCTATTGTGAATGGGAGTCAGGCAAAAATACTGTAAAACAGTGGCCGACCGTGCAATTTCGCCACAAAATGGCTGGTCAAAAGCTGGATGACTGTGCAAGGGATAACTCGAAAAGTCTAATCATAGCAAAACGATCTAGTCCACTGCAGTCCAGTCACACTATGATAAGCTAAGCACCATAGCGGATCGAGCTGTCAGGATGCGCATCAACAGTATAACAATGATGAATAGCAATTGAGGGAAATGAACAATTAAGCAAAATACAAGGAGAAAAGATGGCAAAAAATCGAGGAAGAAGTAGAGGATGAAAAATCGGCAACATGATGCGCAACCGCAGTGGATGCAAGATTACACCATGTTGGATGAAGACTTTGACCGTTGATGCAGATGTCATGTACCGACCACACCAAGCCCTTTGACTAAATTCCTCAACGGTTTGGGTTCCAAATAACAGCTGACTCGGTGTCATGGTTTGGTGCCAAACACCAACCGAAGAACTATGGTATTACTTGCCGCATTACGGCGATCCCGGTTTTGATAGGTTAAACGGATTTAACCGATTCGCGTAGTAATCTCTACAGTGAATTGACCTTCAGGAGTGACACAGTGAAACAATCAGTCACTTAGGGTGATAATGAAAAGAGATGGGATGTAACACTGTTCCTGAATTGGTCGTTTGCAAATAAAAGTGAAGTGAAACGTGTATCGAAAGATTGATTCGGAAGCACAGGCACATCAACTGAGTCGGGCCAGAGACAGTAATATCGTCTACTTGATCTAAATTTGTGCATTTAATTAAGTAAAAGCTGATAGCACAGATCAACAATGAATGTGGCCAGATCCAAAAAATACACTCCACAAGATGCCTCGTGTTTGTCTACACTACTCAGTGTGTTGTAGTTGTCTATCATTCCGACCACAAGGCGGAAAAAAGACAGACACAGCCCTACTGAATTGGTTGAAGACAGGGAAGATAATCCGGTTGAAGAAATGTAGTAGAGTATATTCTAAATGGAAAATGAAGTTCTTTGGAAAACGCGACAAATAAGGCATTATTCAGGCTGATGGAGAACAAGGTGGCAAACCTCGCGTATATGTGGCGTTGTTTCAACACATGATGAACAGCAAGCAAATAACTAACACATCCTCCGTGAAAGTAAAGATCAACTTGGCTTTTAAAGATCCGATCTCCGGTAACAGCTACTCACCGAAGTACGATGACGACAAGAAAGTTCACGACGATCAGAGTAAGACTAACGACTCAATGATTTTCGTGTGAGGTTCGTTCGTCAAATGTAAAAAGGAGAATGAGAAACGACAAGAGCCAACTTGAAGTCATCTCCTTAATGCTCCGTACAAAGTTGAACAAATGGAACAAATCACCAGCAATGAGCGGTCATCGTGCCATAACAATAATGTTAGAAGGTTATAACCAAGTCCATGTGCCCTGCATCGCCAAAATATAGCAAGTCCCTTTAAATGTGGGTGGTTTGACACCAACGTCCTACGCAAATTCAGATGGGTCAGCAAGCGATGGTGATACAGTAGACCTACTGGTCTGATCTTCAATCTGCACCGTCCAGTGATTTGGTCAAAGTGACTTAGAATAAATGAACGCTCAGCCTTTCATCTCGCCACGGGCCCCATTGGAACAGCACTTTTCTGCTTCAACGGATTCCCATCATTAATAATTCCCATGCAAATGGTTAGAAGTTGATTCGTGGAGTTACGGACACACCGGAACTGATTACCCTAAGTTAACTGACACTTCGGAAGTACAACAATAATCCAGACTTCCATAGATGGGCTGACAAGCAGCTGCCAAGGCCTGCACGGGGGAAGAGTGTGATCGGTATTCCGTTCGTCCACCTCGGTCGTCATTGATATTTAAGGAGAGAACTCAATCTGGTACGGTTGTCTGCCTGTGGATTAATATGATGAGTACGTAACTTCGAAATAGAGTACTATGCGAACAAGCGTTAAGGTATGGTCAGAATATAGGTGGCGCTTCAGATCAAACAATAATGTCACACCGAAATACGACTGATTTCGATCTGGGTAAGGAAACTGTGCTGTTCGATGGATACCAAGTAGGGTGAAGAGAAGGCTTGTGCTAAAATGCCACATTGCTGATGTAAAGATCTGAGCCATCAGACTCATGAGGAAGATTGCCGCAATTCGTAGTATAGTTGGTTTCATTCCGAAATGGCCCTTGAAGTCATGTGGGGCCAAATACAGACGAACCAATCGGACACTCATGCAACTATCAACCATAGATATAACTATATTCCCTGTCATATAATGAGGAGAATTATCGACAGATTTCGCTTTTGACGGCATCCAAAATGCGATAGGTGGGGCACACACCAAAGCGACAGCAACGCACCTTGTGTTCAGACGGTGCTTCGAGGTTCGAAAGCGAATCACAACACATGAGGCTGTTTGGTGTGACCCGTTCACGTATCGCCAGCAGTCTTGCTGCCACACGTGACGCCGATACCATTTGGCCCCATCATAAGTGAAGAACATAGTAAATAAATAAATAAATAAATGGCATATTCCTCGGCGATGCGAGGTACAGTCAAACTATGTGGTCTGATCAATGTAGTAGAATAAAGTATAGCCAAGCAACGTGGCTGAAGGTTACATGCGCCCTTCAAAGACACGCACAACCCCCCGACAGGGTATGATAAGGGTGGTGGTCTAATCCTAGTCGTGCTCTATCCCAGTCAGAAATACATTGTGGCCCCCGTATTTCTAGTAAATCGAGTTGAATTTACTACTCGCATCGTGGCGCCCAGCATGGTTGAGTTACTGCCCGTCACAAACGTCCCAGAATGAGAATTTCGTGACAAGTTGCATGACCTTGAACGCTGAGTAGTTCGGCAGTAACGTTGCTAGACACCAGAACGTTACGTAAGATGATAAACTTATGGACCATGGTAAGAGGTAAACCACTGCACCACAGTTGAGTTCATCCTTATCGTGATACAAATAAAAATAAATGCCATTGAAATAAAGCGGCAGATTTGTTAAACTAACTGCTCCTTAAATAACGGAAAAGAAAGATGCACTGACACAGCATTGTGGCCCAACAGGGTCGTAGCAGCTGAATCCCGCAGGCATTACATATAGAAAATTGGCATTGCTTCATAAGCGCTGTGAATAAGTGCTGAGCAAAAATTATTCTTACTTTAAAACCGTCCAAAACGGTGACCACAAACTCGAATAACTATAAAGTACAGCACATCACTCAAAAGCAGTTTAAATGACGTATGCATTTTCGCAATCAATACACTGCTCCGAATTATGCAGCAACGCTGATGCGTACATTAGTAGGTGCTACATGTTCGTCAAGCGAGGCAGTGAATTAACAGAAGCGAACCGAATGTAACCACGAAGGAACACTCACACAAGGTAGCGCAGGACTGAGAAGTGGTAAAGATTGGTTGGAGGCACACAAGATGTCATGCATAATCACCGTGCCCAGTGAATGTGCGAGCACGGATACTTGTCCGCCTTTTTGCAAAAAGTGAGGATTATTGCGCATGAACAGATTGAATAGGCGTGTTAGCTCCCAACTGAGGCTTTTCATAATCTCCACTCGATACACAGGGCTGGTGTAGTAGAGAACATCAATGAAACAGTTGTTGATGTACATTCGTAAAGGTCGCATTTGGCCGACGGTGATGTTCTCCAGTGTGGCGAAGTTCAAATTCAGCGTGGAGCGCCAATCGACCGGAATGAATTCCAGACGCTGTCCAGCTTGTGCAAGGTTCGGATACCGTTTCCGCATTATTCTCTTGCACGTCATGCGGAATCTGGAGAGGTGTGAAAGTATGTATGTGGTCAACGTTTAAACACATGGACACCTAAACTGAAACAGACGCAAAAAGCGGTCGGTCGGGATTCATTTATTTTCTTGTGTTGATGTGGTGGATCCGAGTCGTCATTAGTGAGAAACAGGGGTGGATAAAAATAGTTCCCATCGGCAAAATAACGTCACAATGGATTAAAAAACCGTGCATCAGGGAGTGTCGAATTTTCTTTGCTGTGAATCGCAACAAAGGTCCACAGCCATGTCCTTATAAATGAAGACGTTATTCCACTAAGTACCACATGACTGCGGCTACGGGGCACGTGCGTCCTGACCCCCGTTGCTTAGAGGAATGTCGCCGGATTTGACGAAAGTTTAAAAGCTTTCTTGGGAGTTCACAAACTGGTTTCACCCGAAAAACTCGACGAAACATACACTGCTCTGTTCCCGAACAAACAAACAAAGCAAGGCCAATAGAACGTGCGTCGCAAGATAGAGATGGCAAAGATGCGGTAGCAACATGTTAGACAATAAAAGTACCAATCATCTCGATCAAACGCGTTCACACGGAATAACAGTCATATCCCATAGGATCACGGAGTGACTACACGGCAGTTGTGGTAAAGAAACGAACAATGTGGAATCTCATCAAGCCAGTTGCGAAAATGGCATCGCGTACGCTAGTCGGAGTAGGCTCTTAGCGCCTGCCGACTGCTTATCTTAACACAGCAATTGTATCGTTAATAAAGATAATAGAAAGCCCTTTTTACATGACAGAAAAGTGTAATAAAATTGACAGAAATTCCAAGCCAAGCTGACACAATTCAACCAGGTTGGCGCCCAAGAGATAGGTTACACTAACGGTGTACGCAATGAGCCGACGACCTTCATGGGTCTAACCATTAAATCTCACAGGCCAACCATTCGATTAAAAAAATTCACAGCACATTTCTTCCAAGTCTGCTTGACTTAATTACTCTTGGACTGGTTTTTGTCAATTATCGTTACTATTAAAGCGCAAGTTACGCGGCCTAAATACATGCCATGAGATATTTGTGAAAAGGAAGTACAACACCACGCAAGCAACAATAAGAGTAAGCAGCGATTCCAGAACTAAAAGCACTTGTTGGGACAAATTTATAAGCTTATCACACACCTAACACAAAGTAACTGAAAGTGCCAACAATAATGATTTAGCAGAAACAATGCGGGAGTAAGCCGATCGTGTGACAGCTCCCAGACGTGCCAAGCCACGCTAGACAGATTAGCATTGGTTGTCAGCCGCTTCGGACTTTGCTTTGCACCATCAAAATGCATAGCGTCCCTCCAAGATTGGCAGGGATCGCCTCCTGCGCTGACCCTTGGTGGGAGTCAGCTAGAAGTCGTTCGGAAAATATACTACCTGGGAAGTTGTATCAGCGCCCTTGGGATCGAAGACGCGATCATGAACCGTATAGCAAAAGCTCGAGGTGCTTTTGCTAACTTTCGCCACTCATGGCAGCGGCGCGACATTACTCTTGCCCTGAAGGGTAGAGTGTACAATGCAGCGGTACGTTGGACTCTACTGTACGGTTGCGAAATCTGGCCCCAAAGATCGGCAGATATGAAGAGGCTAGTTACGTTCGACCACCGGTGCCTTCGCAGTTGGGCTCACATCTGGTGGGAACACCGCGTGAGAAACGATCGTGTTCGATGCCTTGTTTACGGCACAGAAAAAGGAAATGAACCGCTCAGTACCGTCATTTCACGCATCAGGCTCCGGTGGCTGGGCCACGTGTTACGCATGCCAGCCCACCGACTTCCACGATGTGCGTTGTTTGACCCCCGGGGATGTGGATGGAAGAAGAGGAGGGGTGGCCAAGCGATGACTTGGTCAAGAAAAATGAAGGCCCTCACTTCGGAGCTGGCCTCGGTCGGACCGTCACGGCTCCCTGATTGGGGTCCAAAAGACGGTGAACACGTTTGGCTGGATACACTTGCTGACATGGCAAGCAGCCGACCTCAGTGGCATTTGTGCTGTGAGTTTCTTTGTCCCTCCCCATCTCTTTTAGCCTCCCCCTCCACCTAAAATGTCATTTCGTAAAGGAAAACATAGTAATTTTTCTTTTTGCCAAGTAGCCGGCTAGTAGCTTACCGGAACGATGCTCAGCTGGTAGCTCAGCTGGCATGCAACTTTTGTATTTATTTTCCTTTTTCATTTATGTATTGCGGTACAATAGCTGAGGTCTTTCAAACCTCTAGCTGACGTGTATAAAAAAAATCCGATCGTAAATCACTGGTGTAATGCAGCTCACCGAGCAGAGTGGTAAATGGTTTGTGTACTAGTTGAATGCACAGCCACAAACGACTTCACTTCCATAAGTGTGACCGATATTATCACGGTGCTAAATTTATCATGACTGGAGATAATAAAGGAGAAACACTGGGGAGATTTGATGATAGTGCGCAACGAGCGCGAAAGCTACGCCCATTTACTTGGCACATTCGTGGCGAATGCTGGCTAACTGCTGTCCGATTCCATGCACCACGAAGCAAAGCTGAGTGATTGGAATTGGGCCATCGTTCGGATCAGCCAGGATGTGGTAGCCTCGATTAATTGGGACGCTACCTGCGGACAAACGGAAAGGGATTAGTTCAGAATGAGCGTACTTACTCAACCCGCCATGTAACTTCACGTTTCCAAAAGGGTTTGCTGCCCGCGTGATTAAGTAAACATCGCCACTGGACGTCCATTCAACGGAAAAGGCGCCGTGAGAAAACTTATGAAGTGCTGAATTGCGGAGAGAAAGGACAGTTTCTACTAGTGGATGACTTACTGCGCTTTACCTTCTTATCCGCAATTCGTTCACTCAGCGTTGGAATTACACAATTCACGTGTTCCGCCTCGATGATGAAGGCCAATTCAAAATCAAGAGGAACCCAATTAATTTTGTTGAACCAAATGCCCCTTTGAATGGGAGTGCTGCACCAATCACACCTACGAGAATGAATCGACTTCTTATGACCAGTCCAAAATATCGGTGAACACATTTTGGTCGTTATATCGACTTCGAACAAATCACCACGGACGATAATTTTCGAGGTAGGAGCAGTGGCTGTGTCGGTTTGAAGTTCCCTAAATGCTTTTTCTACTTTTATCGAATCAGCACCACAGAAAGGCTTCCAGATGTTGCGCATTGAAGATCCATGGTGATAAAACCACCGCACTGCCTCAACAGGGATTTGCTCGATATTCATATATGACGACATCGTCTACAATTAGAGTGCGAAGATAAGAATCAGGGGGGAAAAGAAAAGAATTTAATTAATGTGCAAGATCGCGCCAAAATCTCAAGATAGTTGGCCAGGCTGAAAAGTGTAAAGCCTACACCCCCGGATGATGGAGTGCCAAGCCACTGTGCATCGTATACAGCTGGGGATGGGCATGTTTCGTGAGAGAATCGCTAGGTTGACGTTTGATTTAGGGGTATTTGGAGAGCAGTTTAATACGAAAGTCACCACAGCACCATTTTGATTTTAGTATGGAAGCAAAGCGGTTAGGTAAATGACAACGATGCACACCTTGCTGGCTTTTTCGTTCCTACTTAAATCTAAAGTTAGTAAGCCAAGTGCAGCGAAGGGTGTGAAATGCGGTAATGGACGACTTGAGTGAACAAACTGTTAGTTGTTAGATAAATAAGTAGGCTAATTTGAATGGATGCATCAGCAGTACGCCGATGTGCCACATCGACCTATTGCCGCCATTCGACCAGCTGCAGCTGCGCACATGCTAGTGATACGGAGAGGTCGTCCGTCATATACGCGGATTTCTATCAGGGTTACAACACAAATGACACATGCTTCCGGTCATCGGCCGATGCTAAATTAACACACTTTTGCCCCTTCATCATCATCACTATCATCATCATCAATACACATTAGAGTGGGGTGAAAAACACCACAACTAATGTGCTGCAATACAAAAAGATAAGATACTAAAAAAGTACATTACAAAAATTCCAAAGCAAGTAATTTAAGATTCAATATTAAATTGTCTTTCGCATGAGATCGGAATTGGAGGTGAAATTTAAAGTGGGTGATGAAAGAAACTCACCACACCAACGCCATTGGGGCCGGCTCCATCCATATCAGCAAGTGTCCAACCAAACGTATTCATCGTCTTTCTGACCCCAGCCAGGCACTCGAGATGCACCAATGGACCCCAGCTTCGACGTACTCATTTCTCTCGACTAAGTCATCACTAGGCCTCCCCTCCTCTTCCAGCCGCAGCTCCGGCGCACAAACAATGCACGTTGCGGGAGTCGGTGTGTTGGCACGTTTCCTCTTCAATATCGATGAAGTCATGGAAATCGCATTCACTGGATAGGACTAACGCGTAGAGGTGCAACGACTTCTTAACTTTGAGTATGCTGACAACATTCGCCTCATCTGTGACAGTTCACAAACGTGCGAAGCAGCACTGGTTAGCAGCCGTTTCGGACTATCCTTTGCACCCTCATAGTGCAAAGCTCTCTTCCCAGATTGGCAGGGACAACCTTCTGCGCTCTCTTGGGGCGGATCACCCAGAAGTCATTCAGAAATTCAACCACTTAGGCAGTTGTGTCAGCGCCTATGGAATCGAAGATGTGGTCCTGAACCGAATAGCAAAAGCTCAAGGAGCATTTGACAACCTGTACCTGTGCGACATTACCCTCTCAATGAAGGGTAGTGTGCAACGTAGCCGTACATACGACCCTGCTGTAGTGTTGTGAAACCTGGCGCATTAGATCAGCCGAAATAAAGAGGATAGTTACGTTCGACCACCGGTGCCTTCGCAGTCTGGCCCATATCTGGTGGGAACACCGGATGAGCAATGAGCGTGTTAGACGCCTTGTTTGTGATGTAGGAAGAAGCGAATTGCTAAGCGTCGTTATTTCACGTATCAGACTCCGACGAATGAGCCACGTGTTGCGCAAGCCAGGGCACCGAATCCCGGGACATGCGTTGCTTGCGCACCGGGGGTGCGGATGGAAGAGGAGGATGGGTGGCCAAGCGATGACTTGGTTAAGAGGAATGAAGGCCCTTACTTCGAAGTTGGCCTCGGTTGGAGCCCCTCGGCTCTCTGGTTGGGGGCTGAAGGACGATGGACATATTTAGCTGGATACCATTGTTGACATGGCTAGGAGCCGACTGCAGCGGCAATTGTGTTGTGAGCTTCCTTGTCTCTCCCCTTCTGCTTAACCTCCTCCAACCACGAGTTTAGTTCTTACGCGCAATAAACCTTCTTTGCGGTACAACAGCCGGCTGCTAGCTCTCCGTTATCCATCTGTTACTGGTGGCTAAATAGGCGAGCTATTTTGCGTATTTTTTCCTTGCATGTATTGCGGCACAACAACTGAGGTGTTTGCCATCTCTAGCTCACGTGCATAATGGTGATTTACGAATAGACGTGGAGCCACCAACAAGCCATGGAAATCAAAGAAGAGTATGGCAATCGCAAAAAGAAAATCGAACACAACGGAGCATTCCATGATTTTCTTTGGAGGGTGTGACAATACGCAGTCGTCCAAGTCAAAATTCAAGTTGGCTTACGGGCCACCACTGCGAGCCGTTGGCTATACAGCATACTCGCAAGACAGCGGAGCGAAGTTAGAGAATTGCGTTCATTTGAGGCCCCTGCTCGATATTTAGTCCCTACACCTTTGATTTAGTGAGTTGCCAAAAAGAGACCCAATACACCACGTGCCCATCCTCTGGGGAACAATGTTCCATCAAGGTGAAATAAGAGGTAGTAACTAGTCAATGGTGAGTTACATCCGCTACGTCACAGTACTGTTCAACGGACATTTGTGGCTTTTTGTAAGGATAAAGCTTGCCAGAAGGAAAAGCACAACTTCCAGAAACGATGTTACTGAACTACTTGTTGGAACGGCATAAACCCGAACCATCCAACTGCCACCACGATGAGGTACCTTGAAAGTCAGCAGCGGCATAGACTCACTTAAAATACTGTGTGTAACCTTGGATGCTGTATCCCCGGAAGGAGGTTGCTTGTATAGGAAAGGTACCAAAACTGGAGACTATGATGAGTGAGAATTAACGTGAAAATTTAGTATGAAGATCTAAAGCATTCCATGGAACGTCGCAAATACGGAAACCTGATGGGGAGGTTCGGGATTATGGAGGGCAGAAGCAAAGAATGGAAATCTGACATCGAAGAACCGGAGCACTGATTCGCTCATCGGTGTAGGAAACAGAACGTTCGTTAAGCAGAAACCCATGTCCATGGAATCTTACCTAACTTGATCTGGCTTGTCGGCACGCAGTACCGACACTTCGCTGCCGCGCAACCACCAAAAGTCGAACGTGGGCTAAAGATACTGTGAGGGCCGCCAGGTCCCTAAGCAGGCTCGAAACCGGGTTATCAAATTACAAGGCAGGCATGTGATCCTTAAGGCTTTGGGCCGGCAATGAAACTACTAGCTACCGTGGTAGCTTGCAATGAGTGTGCAACGCGTAATCATCCTAGTAGGAACAGGGGTCAATCCGAAGTAAAACCCAATGGATCCTGAACAAATTTAGTTATAACGTGAAAAGCGCACGATATATGGGTCTACCGGTTCACGAGTCCCCCGCGTTCGTTAGATATGGTTGGTTGTAAGAAGCCGAAAGCAGAAAAAAACAGTTCGTAGGCAGCTGAATGCCATTATCACAACCACCTGATGAGAGACCGGCAAAAAGGAACGTGTACATCACTAACAAATCTTAGAGGACTGGGCACTAACGAGTGGGTGGAATTCGACGTGGACAGCTAGTGAGAAGTAGAAATGGTCGAAAAATGCCGAAGATGAGAAAAGGAAAGAGAAAACAACAATGGCTGTTTAAGTTAGCTTAAGCGATTTTGTATCTAATCTGAGCGTTAACAAAACGCTTTGGAAACAAGGTTGTGCGGGGGATAATATTGTCCGCAGTCCTTTAAACAGAATAATCGACGTTCCAGAAGTGCTGTTAGTATTCCTTTACGTCAATACAATTATTTGACGAATGCAAAGTGTTAACACATCAATCAGAAGTTTCAACAGCATTATTCAACGAGTAAAATGCGGGCGTTTCAGAAACTTCAGCACATGAAGAAGGTCCCCGGCAAAAGGTGCAGAATGCAGTGGAAGGTGCGCAGATCATTCAGAATAAGCACACTGGAAATGAGCACCAGATTGTTTGCAGTCTTTGTTAAGCCGCACCTAGATTGTTGCTCCCAGGCTTGTCCACCATGCTTGATTTGTGATATGACAATGGAGCGGGTATTTAAGACTGGCCCCAGAATGGTTCAAGGACTATGGCAGCGCATCGAGATCGGACCTTAACATGGTGCAATGGTTTGCGTACCTCTTCGACCCAATGAGCCATACTGAGTGGTACCCCCGGGACCCCTTGAGAGCTACTCCTACCAGGTTGGTCAATAGGTACGGAGCAGACAGACTCCGTCCCTGGTACTCCAGATTAGGGGCTTGAAAGTGGGATGGCGTCAATCACCGTAGAACAAATCACCATTTCCCACTGCCCTGCGAACAGGCTCTGTAGCCAAAGACTTTGATTGAATACTCTCATCGTCCTCCTGCCCTGGCAGTATCAGCCCACGTACGACCATGACTATTCCCTCAGACTTCAACCATATTCTGCATCGGCCGTTGTACAGCTTATCAAAGGTCGCCTTATCTGCTGAATACAGCAGAGCGGATAAGCGAAAATACTACTAAAGACGCCTTCCTTCTCTGCCTCTTACTCCCCACCTAACCTACATTACTAATCTTCCTATCATAAACCACCAGTCGCAATTACACTGGAACTTAACGTGGTGAGATGGTTTGCGTACATCATTGATCCACCGAGTTATACTGGGTGGTGCCTCCGGGCCCCTTGAGAGCTACTCTTACCAGGTTGGTCAGACAAACTCAGTCCCCTGGTCTTCAGGTTGAGGGTTTGAAATGGGATGGCGTCTGTTTCTGTAAAACAAGTCATTGCCACCACACTGCCTTACGGACGGGCTACTGAGCCAAAGGCATTGGTTGAGGACCTTAAACGTCCTCCTGTCTAGATCTGGACGCCCTGACAGTACCTCAGCCAACATACTACTATGACAAATCCTCCAAACACGAACTATATCCTGCATCGGCTGTCGCGCAGATTATCAAGGGTCGTCTTATCCGCTGCAAACAGCAGGGCGGAAAAGAGAAAACATGCTACTCCTGACGCCTCTCTTCTTTCTTTTCTACC